TGATGGCTGCCAGCCAACGGTGTTGCACCGGCCTTGTGCACCGTGCACAGCGACGTGTAACATTGTGCACCCGAACAGTCCGGGTGCGACAACAATCTCAGATCTGTCTTGTTACGAGCAATTCAAATTGAACCGAAAGTGAAGGGTTGGCTATCGCTTAGATAATTAACCCGCGCCCCACTGGGGGGGGGCTATTTATAGCCCCCCCCCTCCCGTTTTTCTGCAATAACTTCCAAACCGCTTGACGGATCGACGCCAACTTTCAGTACCTTCGGCTGCATCAATTTGACACCTTGTGTCAAAATTTGAACTTCGTACCTACCATAGGTCGGCCGGAAATGACGTCAGAGTGACGTCATGTTCGTCCGATTTCGACGCAAAACATTGAACCACGGCAATCGCTCCCAAGAGCTCAGTTTTTAAGCTAGATCCAATTTCTTTGCATGAAAGGACTCAGAATTGACCGCGCTATCAAACTGCTATCTCGGATTTTCTAAATTTTGAAAATTTCGAAAATTGTATATAATAATATTCAAAATTTATATTTTTATATTTTTTTCAAAAAGTTTTTGACTTTTCGAAAAAACCGGAATATATGTGACAGAATGCATGATAATGACTAACTCAAGCAAGTTTTAGCTAAATATCTTCAAAAATGGCCAAGTTATACGCATTATTGCAAAAAATTCACAATTATTAATTTTTCAAATCAATTTTTCAGTACGTATTTGACATCGTACACCAATATAAATGGCACCATCGTGTTCCTGAGCTCAAACTGCATCCAATAGATATCTTTTTTGTTGAAAAATTTTAACTTCAAAATTTGACCTTTTTTGACCTGAAAGTGACCTGACCTAAGCTAAATTCGACTCAAAATGACCTCGAATGACACAGACGACATCAAATTCGAAATCTATGGCCTAAATGGACCATAAAACATGTGTCACGTGACCGACGCATGATATAATATTTTCGTGACCTGTGATGACCTGACCCTGACCTGAAAATCAAAGTACAAGTTTGGTACCCTCAAGGTATCTAGAGCATCTGTTCACGAGTGTGGAAACCAAAAATGAGCCTGATCTGACTTGTAAGACGGCGGCCAGAGCCCAAAATGTGAACAAGCAAAAATGCTAATAATTTTTACTTTGACCTGACCTGTGACGTCATCGGTGACCTCGAGGTCAATGAAATTAGGTTTCGCTCGACAGTTTTTCCGGGGCTATCAGACGCCGTTTGAATTTTGACGATCGGCCCAGTAGTTTCGGAGTTAGGAGGGGGGGGCTATGAATAGCCCCCCCCCCCCCCCAGTAGGGCGTGTTATACACAGACCCCAGTGGGGCGCGGGTTAAAACACTCGTATCTACTCATGTCCCATGCATTCGTTCAAATGCCAGCATAACAAGGAAGGATAACATGATTCGTCGAGATAAGGTGAAGGAAGATTTTTTTTCAAATTTACTTTTTGATAAAATACCAATCTATTTTATCGGTCATCCTATGCCAACACTTTCATTGCACTCAAGGAACAAGGAGATTTGAATATCGAACAGCTAGTGTTTTCAAACAAAACTACTCAATGTTTGTTTATTTATTTTTAACCCGCGCGGGGCTGGGGTCTCCAGCCGAACGCGCGGGGCTGGGGGGGGGGGGGTAAATTTTACCCCCCCTGTTATCTCCCAAACTAATGGTCCGATTTGGAAAATTCAAACACCAATCGAAAGCTCTCATCACGAACTACTAAAAACATGTACTTAATTTAAAGTTTGAGGTCAAGGTCAAGGTCAGGTCAAGGGTACAAATTGCAAGTTTCTACAGTATCGGCCTTGCACCGTAGTTGCCGAAGAATGGAGTCATGGACTGAGACTGATCGCCCAAAACGTGTTCTTAGGCTACCAAGACAATATTCGTTGCATACAATATCATTCAGAGGTCAAGGTCAAGGTCAGGTCAGGTCAGGTCAGGTCACCAAAAAACAAAATATAGAAAAGGGCATGTGCGACACATGTTTTATGGGTCATTTTACTCATAGAATTCAATAGGCACACTCAATAAGTGATATGGACCACCTCTGGATGACTTTCAGGTCGAGGTCAGGTCAAGGTCAGGTCAAGTGAGGTCAAATTTTGAAGTTGGTTGCTAAGGCCTAAAAAGGTGTCTATCTGATGCAGTTTTTCACGGCGAATCGAATGGTGCTATTTTTGTTTCCGTACGAGGTCTAGAACTTCCAAAAAAGTCATTTTTCAAAAAATTTGTGTGTCGTGACGTCATAAAATTTTGAATAACTCCCACATTTTTGAACCGATTGTTCTAAAATTTGGTATGTAGGTGCACATAGACCAGTTCTCTGACATATATTCCGGTTTTTTTTGATATACTCAAAATTTTGGATTTTATAATGATTTTCCCAAAAAAATCAGTTTTTTGAAAAAAAAAATTAGGCCAAAATCCAAAATTTTCAAAAAACCGAGATAGCCATTTGATAGACAAAGTAAAATTACGTATAACCTTTTTTTGTTACGTCTTGATTCCTTTAAAAATGAAGATGTTAGCGGCGTTTGAACTTTTGCCTTTTTTGAGGCGAAAATGGCGAACATGACGTCACTAAAACGTCAATTTCTCAAAAAAATTTCCGACGGATTTCGCTCAAATTTTCAGGGAACGTGTCAAATTGATGTAAGAAAAGGTACTGAAAGTTTGGCGGCGCTGCGCGCCGCCGTTTTTGAGATATCGCAAAAATTCGCGAGGGGGGGTAAAATTTACCCCCCCCCCCCCAGCCCCGCGCGGGTTAAGTCTCGCGTGGCAATGCATGATTACCGGAGCCGTATCATAAGTACAAAGGAAATTGGTGTGAGCTCCAGTATTGCATACAGGCATTGATGTGACCGAACACCTGTAACTTCGACATACATGAAATCGGTCTTTGCTGAAAGGCGCATGGCCAAGACACTGGACAGAAATCACGATTCATCCGGGAATCGTTACGTAAGCAACCAGCTATAGCGATTACCATAGGCAAGATGAGGTCATGCTGCTTAAAAGGAGCGCTGCAGGACGGCAAACATCAACATTCAGCATCACATTAAGCTCCTGACAGCGGGACTGGACACTGGAAAGGGTTTGCAATACTAATTCACTGAAAACTAAAGCCGTGATATCGATACAGAGGCTTGGCGAGGCTAACAAAGACCAAAGACTTTTTGGCCAGTTGACATCCTTCATTCGGCTCAAGATTGTTTTTCGAACTTCATTTTGTTTCCTAAAAAGATCATGTCGAATTCATGATAGCAAATGGCGATATACACATTCACGAAGCCTGCACTCCATGGAAAGGATGTATGCTCAAGGGCATTTTAATTGTTCGTTTGCTCTTCACACTCCAAATTCCAATGCCAACACAAACTTTCTACACCACTGTAGTCTTCGTCTATACCACCGAAGTTCAGCTATGCTGATTTTCACACCTCGTGAGTTCTATCATCAATAGCTGTCAGCGCGGGTAAAATTCTCACTTCATCTTGTGTCTCATCTGCTCAGGGCTCGCTTCTTCACGGGAGTTTTTTATGAGAACCAAATTGGAACGGTTGGAACATCGCAGTTTCGGCACTCGCGTTGACCAGCCCCAGCCCAGTCATATTTCATGAAGAAATCAATGAACAATTCCACAGAAGTCAGACAATTCCACGGAAGACAGTCAATCACTCACGACGATGGCTTGTTATAAAGTTTCATTCTGATCTGACAGCAAAGAAAGGCTTCTAATATCGGGATCCGATCTTAGACGTAGAAGGCTGTCAACCAGCCGGTAGCTTTTGCTGGACTGATCTTGTTGATCGCATGCATCATGTTCATTATTTACTGGATTATTTGCGGCACCAATACAAGTAACAACATGTGAAAGGAACAGTAGCGTCTGCAAGCTTGTTTCCGAGTCCTATCGGCACAGATGAATCGCTTCAGCTGCAAGTCAGTGGTGTAGTTTCGTTTTTACTGGGAAGACATTTTTTATCATTTTCAAGATCTCGTCATTCAAAAATGAATACCTACTGATTGATCCCAACCACCGCACAGCGTCCTTTTTGATCAGCCCAAAGCACCATTGCACCAGAGTTTCACCGTCAAACTTCAGTAACATCCCCTCCAACATCTTCTCCAGCTTGACCAGCTCTCTGCTCAGTATCCCACCAGCAGGAATAGCGCCAACGACGCAACCATCATCACCACAGACGTGAAGACACCTCCGGCTGCGTTGCACAGATCTGTTGTGCAGTAGCAAGCCGTGTTCTTGCAGTCATCCTTAGCCAGAGGGAAGCAGGTCCTCACACGATTGGCTGGATCGTCTGGGTCGACAATGTTGGCGCAGGAGCGATCAGTCGCTGCGCAGGTCTGCTTGAACTTATCCGACGGCCCTTCCTTGTCCATGACGTCACAGGTGGGGAACTTGGCCAAGCCCTGGGTGAGGATGGGCGCTAGCTTGACGGTGCTTATGTCCTTGCTCATGCGACAGGCGTAGCACTCGAGCGCTGATGTCGGCGTGCTGGCGACCATCAGCGTCAGCATCAGCACGGCGGCGGCGGTGGCACGCATTCTGATGATAAGATCTCACGATCACGTATGAACTCACGAACTTGTTCACGGAAGGATCACGTAGTGTCAATTCACAAGTTTGCGCCTCACGAATGACTCTAGCGGAACAGCAACGATGTCGGCGGCTGCGGAGACGGCTGAGGTGGCGGCACAACTGAGCTCAGACTCCGCCTAGCTGGGCTGTGCCAGGCTGTGCCGAGCCGGTCTCGCAGCATCGGCGCTACGGGGGAGTAGGGGGAGTGGGGGGGGAGGTCTAGGTGACGTCATTTTCGTCGGAGGAGCGGCGCAGCGGGGTAGGGCCGCGAATACCAGCCTTGAGATGTTATGGCTGCAGTGTGGGCCGCATACAGAAGCACTAGAGCCGGGCGAGTGGGAAGTGTAATCGATAGGTGGCGCTTCTTCATAGTTCTCGCAGGTGCAAATAAAGTTACACTCACCACGACATATTTTTTGTGTGTTTTAGAAACTTCATTCGAAAACCAAATTCGTGTCGTACCTACACTTATCTAAACAATGCTCTTTTAGCATTCGGTGTTTCCAGTAGTTCATTCTTATTTTTGCTCCACATTCCGTCCCAATTATCTATCACAAATCACAGATCATTCATGGCTATTCTAATCAGCGTTTTGGCGTAAGGTGCATTCTTGCTTTATAGATTTCCAAAAGCAGCTTTGATAACCTATGTTATTTGGTACTCCTTTTATGCTTCATTTGTAAGAACCATGACGATTTTCTCTTCCACCTCTGACCGAGACGATAGAAATTGCAGCGTTAGTGCAGGCTTGTAGGAGGGCGGAGCTGGGTCATCGACTATTTTTGGCCGCTGGCATGCTGTGCGTGGCACATTTATGAGCCAACGCCCTGGCCAGAGGTGCAAATTTTAACCCGCGCCCTGCTGGGGGGGGGGGGGGGGGGCGTTTGAACACCCCTGCGGGTTTTCGCGAATATCTAAAAAACCTTATCATATATCTATTCTACACATGTTGTGAAAATTGTAGACCAAGCTCATTTAGGGTCAGCTCACCTTGTAGGTACAAAATTTTCAATGTCTGCCATAGCTACACCGAGTGACCGATTACTTTGAAACTTTCAGCGATTGATAACAGCATAGAGCATAAGAGCATAATAGCATCAAGATAAGAGCAATTGATAAGAGTATGTACAAAATTTATGTCTCGGAAGTGACCTAAGGTGAGGTCAATTTTGCGACCTCTCCATTATAAGTCAATGGGAGAAAATTGAAAGGCGCCTCTTTTGGACCAACGTCATTACAAACCCTCTCAACCAATGAATTTTAAGTATCTTTGACTCACTGAACATAAACAGGTCACCCGTGACCCTTGTTTATGACCCTGAGGTCATAAACGGGTCACGGAAGCCATTTGTATGTTCAGTGTGTCAAAGATACACGAAAGATACACCCCCTGTTTATGACCCTGAGGTCATCTCTGGTCACGAAGGCTATCTATATAACAGTTTTTTTGCGAATAATTTTTGACAGAGGCATGCTAGAGCGATGAAAGCGCCCTATATATGTTCAGCTCGACGATACGGATCAACTGATATGCAACATGACCCTTTCTGGTTAACACATGACCTTGACCTGCGGTAAAATTTATAATTCATTCGACGCGTCTTGACAAGAGAAACATGATGCCGGTAAAAGAAATCTCGAACAAGGCTTGGGTGAAAAGTTGTTGAAGAAAAACTGTTTCCGCAAAAATAGTCTACTTTGGCAGCTTTTGACCCCTGCAGGCGAAACCGTTGACGTTAGGTCAAATCTGAGGGAAGCGATCAGAAAGGACGTTAATAGGGCTATCAAATGCAATTTTTCCGCGGCGCTACAGGTCTATTCGTTCCCGAGTTATGCGTTGGCTTCTTGAAAATTGCCGACATTCGATCTGGAAATCAGCGAAATTTTGCCTTCAATGATCTTTGGTGACTTGAATTTTGACCTGACCAAAAGTAACCGAAGTGATTTATTTCGTCATTAACCCGCGACCTGGTGGGGGGGGCTATTTTCTGCTCCCCTCCAGACTTTTCGATATATCTCCAGAACCGCTGCGCCGATCGTCACCAAACTTTCAGTACCCTCCCGGACATCAATTTTACACATTGTGACCAAAATTTTTCCAAAAGCTATGATAGGTTGGCCGAAAATGACGTCAGAGTGACGTCATGTTCTGCCGTTTTCGACCCAAAAAAGGGTTTCGCGGGAAGAGCTGTCAGGCCTATAGCTTTGCAAATACAGAAAAATGTTTAGGACATAAGAGCTGTAGAATTGACAGGGCTACAAAACTGCTATCTCGGATTTTTGATTTTTTTATTTTGACCCCCAAAAATCAAAAAATAGATTTTTGGGATATAATAGTCAAAAAATCCAAAAAGTTTTTTGAATTTCGCAAAAACCGGAATGTATGTGATAGTCCTTACCGCCTTCCATCCACATACCAAATTTTAGATTGATACCTCTTTTTTTGGCGAAGTTATAGCGAAAAAACTGTTCAAAATTGATGACGTCAAATTTTCAAACTCAATTTTTAGCAATTCTAGACCTCGTAGTGCAAAACAAAGACCACCATTAGACTCCCCGTGACGAGCTGCATCGAATCGATACCCATTTTATGCAAAAATATCAACTTTGAAATTTGACCTTTTTTGACCTGACCTTGACCTGACCTCCACCAGAAAGTGACCTAAACCGTACCTGATGGTCTTATAACCAACACCTTTGGGTTGGAAATGAAAAACTGGCCATAAAACATGCATCGCACAACCTTAGTAAAGTTGGGTTCATGTGGTGACCCTTGGTGACCTTTGGTGACCTGACCTGTGACCTGACCTGGTATGACCAGTGACCTCTAATAGCAACATATGTACTAGACAACTGACGTCTTATCGCTGATTTTCGACAACATGCGTTTTACTCGGTGTTTAGCGCTTTCCCTAGAAGCCCCGTGCATGAACGGTGAAACATTTTATCTTTGACCTGACCTGTGACGTCATAGGTGACCCCGAGGTCAATAAAATTTGGTTTCCTTCGACAAATTTGACAGGGCTATCGAACGCCGTTTGAATTTTGCGGATCCGTCCAGTAGTTTCGGAGATACGAGGGGGGCAAAAAATAGCCCCCCCCCACCAGGTCGCGTTATAAACAGACCCCACCAGGGCGCGGGTTAATTTTGACGCTCTTTCGAACGCCGCCTTCCTTGTTATGGCTACGTGGCTTAGGAGCCGAGTTAGAAGGGGGGCGTGAAAACACCCCACCCCACCTCCAGCAGGGCGTGGAAATCCAGGACCCCCAGCGGTGCGCGGGTTAACGTATTATCATTACTCCATGTAGGGGTGCAGGTACTAAGTTTGCTATATAGGAGCGTTCATTCTTGTGGCGGTGGTTGATGTGTATTCATTGTGTAGTAAACACTCCATAGTTAATTCATTCATGTGCACATTAGCATATGGTTGATGTTCATACTACATTTCATGGTAAATAATGAGCCATTGTAAGCATTTATGTAGAATAGAATGAAAGGTGATGGACACTTCTACGCCAAACAGCCGTGTAAAATTTTTGTCACATTATAGATAATAGGTATATTGATATCTAAGTGCCTTAGCACAGAGCACAAATACACTTCAAATAATCATGTACGTAAAATGTATGTACATGATGCCATTGACACGCGATGCTGCGTCAGAAAAAAAAACCGTTCCGTGTAGTCGTCCTGATCCCCCTCATCATGGTCTCATTTTCATTCCCTTTTTAGCTTCCGGCCCCCATGCTGCCATCGCAGCCCGATCTGAGCGACTAACACACCGACATCTTGCAGTCCTGCACGCGTGACAGGCTCTAAACACAACCAGCTCTACCGCTAGTGCAACCAGGCTGAACACCACACCGAAAACAACTACAAGAACAACGGCCGCGAGATCAGTGAGAGACACCGCACGGTATCCTGACGGTACTTCGCACATGCTGGGGTCAACGTCTATCCACTTTCTCCACAGTTCGTCCAGCAGACCCAGCTCCTTGAGTCTCAATAGCTGGCGATCGAGCGCCAGTCGTAGTTTCTTCTTTCCCTTTGCAAGCGCCAAGAAGACTGGTTTCTTACCGTACGCTTCAACATCTAAAAGTGGGACAAAATGGCATCCTTCTGTTCCGAGCCAGTGGAATAAACGATTCCGGGGACTGACCACGAGAACCCGAGGTCTCAGAACCCGCTGGACGGCGCTCTCGGAGTCGTTAAGATACACCAGATTCTTCCCGTCCAGGACTCGACTGTACAGATGTCGCTCGTAAGGATTGTGACTGTATCTCCATGCGCTGATGAGACTGGTGCCAGGTTCCACGGCAAGAGACCAGTCTGGGAGCTTGGAGAATTCCTCTAGACTGTTGATGGGTCGTTGCATGCGGTCTACAGCCAAGTGGGAGATTAAGTTGGCCGTGTAGGAGGTGTAGATGATGAGGCCGAGTATCCAACTGAAGATGGTGACAGTGCGAGCGGAGAGGACCTCAGGGACGATGCTCCACCCCTGGCACACTATCGTGCTGTAAATGAACAGCGGGCACAGGGTCCAGTGAAGATCGTTCGTCGATTGAGGATCCTGCGTACGGCGGTCGCCCAGACGCAAAGTCACGCAGAGGGCCAACCACAGCACGATCATCGAGGCAAGCAACGCCCACCAGACGGTGTTATCGAGCGGTGTGAGAAGACCTGCGAACAACTCTGCTGACAAGCTAGGCATCGCGCGTGACCCGCGACGCACAAAGAAACTGATCTGCTGCTGGTCTAGTGGCGTCGAGCTGACATAATCCACCACGCTGGTTCGCTGGCGATTGTAGAACAACCCGTTCAGCGCTAGGTGGGCACGTCGTGACGCTAGCTCTCCCACCATGCCGTTCCAAGTGCCGTTCGAGTCCAGGACACCATACCCTCCTCCGGGACATGGAATGATGCGGTACTTGAAATCCATATTGGCAGCTATAATTTGCCACACGTCGTGCATGTATCCACCGAAGCTATGTGAGCCGTTCACCAAATGTTTGATGAAGAAGTACGGAGGGTCGTGGATAGCTGTGATGTTGATCTCTTGCTTCCAAGAATCATCTTGTTCCGGGGCGGTGGTTGAATTCCAAAGGAGGAATAGCTTCCTTTGGGCGTCCATCACGAGTCTGCTGTAGGCCACGGAGGGGTTTGGAGGCTATGGTGATGTCTGCAAGGGAGCGTGACCAAGATTAGATACACAACGCCAAGCTTTGAAGAATGCTCACTCCGCGACAGTCGCAGCACAAGTGAAAGACTCAGCGGCATGTAGCGTTGTTACTGTGGTTACGAGTTACGACATGTGTAAAATACGGTCGATTCAGGTGTCATCGCAATCAGCTCATGCCTGCTGTGATATCTACTGAATTTTTAAACATGCGCCATGTTTAACTTTCTACAGCGAAGTATCTTTAACCGCCCCTGATAAGTTCAGTTTCCAGGTATGGTCTTCATTTATGCATGAAATAGCTAAGGGTGCAGTTGCGCGTACAGTAAAATGCAGCAAGTACACGAAAAGATACGAAGTCCTAGCATATCAACCATATAGGCGGCGGAACGGGGAGGGCACCGGGGCACCCTGCCTCCCTTTGATTTTGGCATTTTAACATTAGCCCTATGTGCGTTGCATGGAAAGAATGGGACCAAAAGTCGACAGTGCCCCCCCCCCTTAATTGAAGGTGTTCCGTCACCACTGATATCAACCTCAATCTATCGACATTTAAACATAAACTAGCACAAAACGAATAACCCCGCCCTGCCACAAAAAATATTTAATATATTTTTTTCGAGTTAGGAGTTGAGCAACGAACGGTACAAGGATATTCACGAAGAACAGCAGATAAGATGATTAATTACGAGCGAGCGAGCGCAGCGAGCGAAGCGAGTCTTTTCAATATAACGTAAAAATCTCAGTATGAGCGGCCCGGCCCGGCCCGGCCTGTAACGCTTTTGAGAGGCTTATATCTCAGCAACCACTGGACCGATTGGCCTGCGGTCTTTTTTGCTGGGTAACCCCATCCCTTCTACCCCGTAATTGACTACTTTTGATACATCTCAGTGTCAGTGACCGTCGTGGCACGTGCCAGTCCACGTGAAAAGTCAAGGATGTTCAAGCTGTTTTGCAAAAGTAGTGATTTTGAGAGGCCCATATCTCAGCAGCGGCTTGTGCGATTGTCTTGCGGTAATTTTTGTAGGGTAGCTGCATCTCTTCTACCAAAGGTCGGATACTCTTTATCTATGTGAGTGACCCCCACTGCACGTGCAAAATGCAAAAAAGAAGAGGTGCCAAATTTGTTCCCATTTCAATAACTCGGTAATTACTAGGGCGATTTCGCTGAAACTTGGCATACATGTTGGCACCCAACAGGCAATGCATTCCCATGTGTTGCGGTTAGGGTGCTGCTGCACGTGCGCACGTGCAGGGAGCGCTCCCAGATCTCGAGAACGGCTGGGCCGATTGCGCTCAAATTTGGTACACGGTTGGGGACCAGTTAGTAGGGTGCCGTGCAAAAGTCAGTTTGGACCCCGTTTGCACGTGCGCACGTGCAGAATGCCGCTCCCAGATTTTAGGAACGGCTGGGCCGATTGCGTTCAAATTTGGCACACCGCTAGCGACCGGTTAGAAGGGTGCTTTGCACAAGCGCGTTGGAAGTACTCTCTCGCCCTTCCGCACGTACAGGGCTCACTATCTCGCTCGCTCGGTCTTCGCCCAAAAGACGTTTTACTGGTATGACTAATGAGGAAAGTGGGCATTTTTTAGGCTCACTTATGAGACCCGCAGTGGTGGCCGTGGCAGTGATAAAATGTAAAGATGGGCGGCAGACCAGTCTACTGATTGGCTAGGCAAATTCATTACCGCAATAATAAGCTGGTAGCAACTTCTCTATGCATAAAAATAGACAAAGGAGAATATGAGAATACAGAAAAGGTCGCACTCTAACGTTAGACTTATATTATTATTTATGCGTATTCATACAGCAGACCCATTTCGAACGGAACAATTAAGAACTATCATACGGAAAACACGCTGTTCTCATCCACCCGATATCCATTGAAGGGTACACACGATTCTCTAGCCCCTCCACTGTCACATTATCTTCAGTAAAGTAGTTAGGCTCATGGGCAAAAGGGTAAAACCCTAGTGATTGTAGTCTGCGGAAGATGGCGTAGATATTTCGGTAGAATGCGCTGTGACTGGCAACTGGTAGGTATCTGTAAATGGAGATCGAATTAGTTAGAAGATATTTGGTTCAGCTGGGTAGAGGCCGGTGGTGTTACAGGCGTTATGGAGCTGTTTCTGTCAAACACTTCTATTGAAAACTGCTTTAGAACAACAACACACTTAAAAAAAAAAAAAAAACGATAAAATCGCTGAACAGTACCTTTGGATTCTTTCATTCTGCGAATAACATTTAATCATTCCTCTCACCTTTGAAAGTTCAAGCGAATAACCAGCTGCTGCACCGAATTACGTAGCACCGACTCTTCCGATCTATTCAGCTCCCGTTCGAGCAGCCAGAGACCTCTATCGGCAGGGTCAGTAACTACCAGCAGCGGGACGGTGTGACTTGTAAGCTGACCCAGGGTAGAGGTCAGGTCAGTGACCTCAGCAGTGTCAGCGGCTGGGACAGGCAGATAGACCAGCTGTTGGAGGACACATAAACCCAAGTGATACAGGGAAAGGGACTGCGACTGCGAAAGTAAAATTTCATGGAGCCACACAATTTCTTAATCAAACGAAACAGCCAATTACTGTGATATAAGCAAGAAAATGTGTAATAAACATATACCACTGCTTAAGGAAAAGTAGATACAGCGAAAAAGTGCCATTATTCGTGCAATATTCTGTTAGAGTTTAGACGTAACATTGCATCCCATTTTACTGCGTTTCGATAAAACATATATGCAGTGATATCCGTATACTTATAATGATATGTGATCGATGATCAAATATCACTAACTTGCGGATGCTTCTGCGTATACGCGCGCACAGTTCTGATCTTACGATGATAATTCCTATCACATCATGGGACGTCTTTCTCTGGTTTCGCTTTAGCCTAGCCTCACCTGACAGCCAAATTCGCTGACATCTCGAGCGAATACTGGGTCACGGTGCTGCTGAACGATAACAATGAGGCAGTCCGGGGTAAACAGAGATGCAAACTCGGCGTCCATACAGACCCCCTTCTGACCGTCCAGAACCGGGATGTTGGCAGCGTCCAAGATCTGTGGAGTATTGGGGGGGGGGGGGTGATTTGTGTGGGTCACCGAGAGCAATTCTTATTTTTAGAAGAAAGACCGACTAACGCAGATATGGTAAGATGATAAAAAATCAAGCTGGCAGTTAGGCAGGCATTCATTGTATCTTAGTGCTATTTTAACTTGAATAACAGCGGGAGACGCCCAATTATCTCAGAAAAAAATCGCCTAATTAGACACACAACATTCAACTTAGTTTATTGAATTGAGGTGTGCCACAAGGACAAATGCATTCACAGCGTTTCTGACCGGTATTTGATAAGTTCAATTACCGACAATGATCCGAGCCGACTTAGCTTTGCAATACAACGCCCTGCGCCAGGCACCTACTGACGTTAAAGCAAGGATAAATTATTTCTATTCAACAAACGTCAGTAAGCCCCAGAAAGCTGTCTTTTTCCATTATATACACTGTCCATTATATATATTCCATATATATCCCTCGCCCGTATAGGGGGGGGGGGGGGTCGAACGGACCCCCCCCATGGTTTTTCGCGAATAACTCGCGTAAAAAGCGGCCGATCGCGACGAAACTTTCAGTACCCTCGCGTTCATCAATTTCACACCTACTCTGAAAATTTCATGACCCTGACCCAAATGACCTTTGACCTGTGACCTACTTTTCGAGACCATGTTTGGCTGGAATCGCGATTCGGCGTATGTCGGCTCACATTAGCCGCGCGTTTGCAATCTTTTCGTGGTTTCAAGCGTTCAAACATGTGATATGATGTTGCCCCCATGCATTAGGGTGGGTGTCAAGGTCACCTGAAGGTCAGGTCAGGTCATTGACCTTTGATGACCTCGGTTCACTTTTTCGAGTTTTACATGTTTCTAGGCCAGTTTTTGGAGCTGAATTCGAATTTAGCAACCATATGAACATTTACGAAGTAGTTTTGGTGCCTTCGTAACATGTTACGAAGCTGTCAGAGGCGGTTGCCACCTACTACGAATACCCTTACTGGTTGACCTGACCTGACCTGACCCGACCTGGCCTAAATGATAAAGAATGGCTTTGGGCCAAATTAAAACTAAACAACGTTACCTTAATCATCTGCTGCCTTTACCTGCCACCCAACCTCAGCACAGATAGACTAGACAATTTTTTAGACAGCTTTAGTGAAAGTGTAAGTGCAGCCCATGCACACAATCCCTCCAGCATTATTGTCCTGGGTGACTTTAACGCAGGTAATATTTACTTAGAAAACGAAAACAACCACAGTGGTATCACATTATTTGATAACAAATTGAAAAATGTAGCAGAAGCACTGGAGCTAGCACAACTTATAAGTGAACCCACCAGACCATCACCTGAAGTAAAAAACCTCCGTGATCTATGCTTTGTTTATAATACACAACTGATTAATGACAGTGGTATCCTATCATCTTTCTCAACATTAGATCATTTTCCAACATTTGTATCATTGCAAATGGAGCCGATAGCAATACCAAACTCGTACAAGACAATATGGGACTATGACAAATTGAACGCCGACCGACTAACACAAACACTTATGAACACAAACTGGAATGACATAATTGAAAAGGACATTGATACTGCAGTAGAAGATTTCACAACTAACTTGTTAAATGCTGCACACCAAGCAATACCAACAAAAAAAGTGACTATAAGACAGAGAGACAAACCTTGGGTGACTGCTGACCTTAAACGTGCAATCAGAAAACGAGACAGACTGTTTAAACGCGCCAAGCACAACCAGACTGAATATGACTGGAGAAGGTGGAGAGAACAACGCAACCTAACAACAACAATAACAAAACAAAGAAAACAACAATACATGCAGACACAAGTGTCTGTATTGCTGGAAAACAAGCAGAACCCCCACAAGTATCATCAAACACTACGTAATATAACTGGAAGAAAAGTAGATAAAGCTATACCACCTCTTGAGACGACAGATGGCCAGACAATTACTGAAAGCAAGGACAAAGCATCGCTTCTTAACAACTTTTTTGCAGCACAATCAAACATTGATGTTCCCGATACCCACGCTACCCAGTTGACTTCACAGCCGGCACTTTTTCCAACCTTAAATTCGATTAACGTAAGCAGTCAAGAAGTCTTAAAAGCCCTGAATGCCTTAGATCCAAATAAATCAACTGGTCCAGATGAACTCCCCGCTAAAATTTTAAAGCTTACTGCTATCATCATTGCCGAGCCATTAGCGAAGATATTCAATAAATCACTAAATGAAGGCATCTTTCCAGGATCTTGGAAGCTTGCTAATATTAACCCTCGCCCTGGCAGGGCATTTTTCATAACACGGCCTGGCAGGGGGGGGGGTCGATGCGACCCCCCCCCCCTCGCGATTGGCTCCTATGGCACCTAGAAACACCAAATTTGGTAGGTAGGTGGGCCCCCCGGAGTTCTCGCCCCTGTGCAAATTTGGTTGCTCTAGGTCAATATTTAGGGGGGTTTTGGGGGGGTATAAATGTAAAAATTTCGCTAAAAACAGGTCAAATGTTTTTCGCCTATAACTTTTGATCTAATTAAGATAGAGCAAAAAGAAAAGCACCATTGAATTCAGCACGTCAAGGCAAGTCGAATGATATACTTTTTAGCTTTATTAAGTGTACTTAAAGTTTTTCTTAAATTTTAACCCTCGCCCATGTAGGGGGGGGGTTGGTGCAACCCCCCCCCCCTGAGGTTTTTCGGAAATAGTGCAAAAACGGCGGCGCGCAGCGCCGCCAAATTTTGGGTACCTTATGGGGCAAACCTTGCGCATCTTTTGATGAAAAAAATTTGACCGGGTCATGTCAGGTCACGGAGTTATGACGTCACAAAGGGAACAGCCTCCGGCCGGATTTTCACAAACTGAGTGCCAACGCCCGAGGTTTCCTGCCGGTGGTACGGACATCGGTTGATGGATCGTGATGAAACTTCCCATGCATGCTGGGGCAAGTATTGGCTATCATATGGTATAAAAAACTTGACCGGGTCAGGTCAGGTCACGGAGCTATGACGTCACAAGAGGAACAGCGTCCGGTACTATTTTTGAAAAGCGCCCGAACCACTATTTTGCTAATTCTTGTCACCTCAATGGGAATATGCAGCAATATTAGCTTCTATAGGGAGCAAATGGACCTCCCAAATCCAAAAATACAATCAGATTTCAAAATTTAAATTTTGATTTTTCGAATTTCTGCCGCCGACTGTGACCTTGCCGACTTCCGGCACTCCCAACGCGCCATTTTTAAAGCTAGGGAAACGAAATACATACCAAACGATAGAAAATTGATCAAGGAACACGATAGTGAAGATTTCAAGTCGATATCTCCCACCGTTTTGCCGCAATCGCCGCGGAAAGTTGAAAAAAGTCTATTTTTCCGAAAATTTGACCTTTGACCGGTCAAAAGTAGGTCAAATGTTGACCTAGGACCAAAAAATATACCACCAATCGCGAGATCTCGTTGAGAGCAATCCGTTGGTTTTTTCCGCTAAGCTCTACGACGCTCCGTTTTCAAACGCCAAGGGGGGGGGGTCGCACCAACCCCCCCCCCCCCCCCCCTGCATGGGCGAAGGTGGCAGATCGCCGTTTACGGGCGAGGGTTAAGTAAACTTTAATTAATAAATTAAGTTCAAATTAACCAAATTGCATCATATCGCATATCATTTGATTCGGCTGATCACCAGGAACACGATGATACCATTTTTTAAGCTCTAGCGTCATTATGTGCCAAGTTATTGGCAAAAACGTCAGTTGACCTCAGTTGACCTCATTTGACCTGACCCATGGAAAAGTACACCAAACAAAGAAGCACCAAGTGTCCTGCTGTTAAGTACCGTGGTTTCAAAGCACAAAAGTGATAAAACGAAGCGGATATCTCCAGTATTTTCCGAATTTAGTATTTTCCCATAGGCTTAACATTACGACGTAATGACCTCTAACTGACCTCAAGTCAGTGACCTCAAAAAAACCGGACTATATGTTATACAACTCGGTGAACTTAGCACATGCTGAAAGTTTGAAGGAAATCAGTCGAAAACTGTGAGTTGGACAGGTGCATAAAGAAAATTGAAATTTGACCATGACCTTGTACCGGTTTTTCTGACCTGGTGACCTGACCCAAGGTCACCCGGACCTGAAATTTTCAGGTCATATGTAAAAAGGTTGCCTCATAGGCTGTGCCAAATTTGGCGGCGCTGCGCGCCGCCGTTTTTACGCTATCTTTGAAAAACCTTAGGGGGGGGGGGTCGCATCGACCCCCCCCTGCCAGGGCGAGGGTTAAACCAATCTTTAAAAACAAGGGATCGCCATCACATGCATCGAATTACCGCCCAATTAGCCTCCTATCTTGCCTCTCAAAAGTTCTTGAGAGACTGGTATTCAAGCATATATATGAGCATTTAATGAACAACAATCTTCTCACTGAAAAACAAAGTGGCTACAGGCCAAATCATAGCACCCAGTTACAGTTGATGTACCTTTCACATAACTTGTACAAGTCTATCGACAATGGAAAAGACTTTACTGCTATATATTTGGACATTTCCCGATATTTTGACAAAATTTGGCACAAGGGTCTTCTTCATAAATGTAAATACGAATTTGGAATAACCCGCAACCTTCTAAATTGGCTCACTTCTTACTTATCAGATAGAAGGCAGCGTGTGAAAATAGAAGACTCCTATTCAACCATTCTCACTACTAATGCAGGCTGTCCACAAGGCTCGGTCCTGGGTCCTCTCTTGGCTCTTCTGTATTTAAACGATCTATCTAACAAAACATCAAACGAAACTCTATTTTTTGCAGATGACACATCTATGTATGCTTCACATACGTCAGCCACTTTGACTGAAGTGGAAAATTCCCTGCAAAACGACTTGAACGAAATTTATAAATATGGTGAGAAGTGGTTGATTACATTTAATGCTACAAAAACAGTTCAACAAACATTCAGCAGCAAGCAAACTGATAAAAGCTTGCCTCATTTAACTTTTGGAGGAGAACTCATACCCATACACAAAAACCATAAGCACTTAGGCCTTACGTTTTCTGAAGACTTGATGTTCAAGGAGCACGTCAACGAAATAATAAGCAAAGTAAACAGAAACTTAGGACCCCTGTACCCGATAGCGTCATATCTACCTAGAAAGATACTAGAGCAAATATACACACTTTACATAAGAGCCTACTTCGACAACTCAGACATGATCTACGACGGACTTATAACGACCAGCGACGCAATTAGACTTGAAAGACTCCAAAATAGGGCTGCTAGAGTTATCACCGGCACCCTAACTCGGACTTGATCTGACAAACTCAGAACAGATCTGGGATGGTCTACCTTATCAGAAAGACGAAAACAACATAAACTTAGTATGTTCTATTCTATCATTAACAATCCAAAAATCCCATCCTATATCAAAGAAATAATACCACCACAACGAATTAATCAAATCGATAGACCATTAAGAAACGCAACAACAAGAACGGAACCAGTCAATCGTACTAAAAAATATCATAATTCGTATGTTCCATCAACTACGAGACTTTGGAATCAACTTAAGGAAGAGAGCAGAGCTCTGAGGACAAAAAAGGCATTCAACAAAGAAATTTACAAAATGCAGGCAAAAGAGCACCCACTGAAATATTATTCCCTGGGTAAGAAAATAGGCAACTGTCTATTAACGAGGCTTAGAGTAGGAATGTCAAAACTAAATGCGCATCAATTTACAATACAAAGAGTAGATTCGCCGAGCTGTCACTGTGGCAACGAGTTGGAAAATGTTAAACACTACTTTCTTCACTGTCCATCATATGAAGAACAACGACGAACCTTATACAGATTCATCACCCATAATATTTGTGAAGACTTCGCCCTCAAACCAGACTCATATAAACTGAATCTCCTCCTACACGGTACAACCAACGACCACGAACAACTCCTGACATTAGCACAACAGGTCCAAAATTATATTACGTCAACTAAACGTTTTTAATGACATCATGTACACCCTCGTCTGTAGTTCTGGGAACCCCTGGCACTGCTGCTGCCGGCTGCTGATCCATCTTTATTACTGAGCGGGTAAAAGTAACCACACCTACACGAGCGGCGGTCAACAAGTAGTCATAAATGAATAAGTAAGCAAACACATAGATAATAAGGTAAAAAGTGTACGAAATCAAAATGCTGATTAAGCAAAAGGCGCCATGAATCAAGTGCTAAGGCACTTTTGCGCCAATTGCATGTTCATCTTATTTTTATTTCTGTCCATTTATGTTTGTAATAAAATTCGTTGTGTGTGTGTGTGTGTGTGTGTGTGTGTGTAAATACATAAAGACATCATCTGTGATCAAAACTAACATGATATTCGTGATCAGCACCCCGAAAAACCCCGTAGCAGCCACACTTTACGACGTTCTAAGAGGCCCCGTTTTTCCCGCCTTTGGGGTCATTGACCTGACCTGCAAGGTCAACCAATGACCTAGGACCTTAAAATTGGGTATCATCGGCTTCCTCTCGTCACGGGCAACACGCTCGTTTTTTCCGCGAAGCTCTAGCTCGATCAGGGGCGAAACGGCAAGGGGGGGTCCAACGGACCCCCCCCCCCCTTATACGTTCGCGGCTGGAAAAACACCAATACGGGCGAGGGATATATTCCATCATATATATATATATATATATACATATATATATATATATATATATATATATATATATATATATATATATATATATATATATATATATATATATATATATATATATATATATATATATATATATATATATATATATATATATATATATATATATTATTCCATTATATATATTCCATTATATAGCTGTCATTCCATTATGTACATAGAGCAAACTTTTATACTCTCATTCGGCACGTGCACTCACCGCTGTTCCTCCAAACTTGGCCAGTCTTCGGCAAGCGGCCGGGTCAGGTGAGGTCAAATAGGTAAACAGCTCCCGGGTCAAGGTCAGGTCATCGTCGGCCATTGGTGGCAGCACGCTGACGTTCATATCAGAACGACAAACTAGCGATCGGGAGCTGACGGGGAAAAATATATATTAGACAGGCAGATGACAGTGGCAGGTTTTACAGCAATGATGCTTCGGGTGCCAGTGACAGGAAATATCTATTTGCATAATTAGCATTAAAGGTGTTGGTAATTAGTTGGATAGTTGATATTGACCACAGATGAATGACACATAGGCGTCAGTTGGCGGTGGATTGACTAAATGACAACAGCGAAGCCGGTGCAGAGCTTATGTTTGATAAGGGACAGAAATATTTAATTATGAGATGGAAGTGGCCAAACTACAATATTATTTCAAAAGAACAATTCATTTTGCGATTTTATGCTGCTTTTTATTCTTGTGTAATTTAAACCGTACTGAAAATGAGAGACTACAGTGTCTCATTTTAGCATTGTATTGGCTTATCGCCTCCTCGCCTCTAGCTCCCTGGCCTTACCTGTAGTGCTCCGATTGGTGCTGATTTGTCACTAGTGACGTCATACCCCGGTACCAGACCAGTGACGTCATCAGAAAGAGCGCCAGCAGGCTGAGCAGCGAGAGCGAGGGCAGAGCGATTAGCCGCCGACTGGCCATTTGTCTACCACAGCGGTAGAGCAGCGAGAACGACATGGAACAAACTGACGAGAGGTTATTATTTTCGATATTTAGATAAACTGATAGATATGTGACTAATGTAACTTTCAACAAAGGGTTCGAGATTAATGATTTTGTCAAATTTCGACCCAAAACTCATTTCATGAATATGTCTAGTTTCGATGGCATAAAATGAAATCTAAGTTTGAGAAATGCATGACGTTTAGTTACATTGTTGAAAGATTGCAAGTGACAAGTCATAAGAACTTCATAAAAGCGGTAATAACTATATGCTTGCTTACTACAGAAATGTAAACGGAGGCTGCATGATCTTACCTAAAACAACCACCGATCTTATCCACATTCAGCTATAGACGGTGTAAGGCAGTAACCAGCTGACCACAATATTGCACACACAGCCCTGCCCCTTCCCTAACAACGTCCAGCGTCCACTGAGCCCGCCCGAACTGACTGGCGTTTGATGCTCCAAGCTACTCAGCACGGTGCATCAGAGCACCTCAGACGAAAAAAGGCACCCTTGGTCTGCTGAGGGTCCAACAAAAACGCCGGTGCCGGGCGCTGACCCGCAGAGAAGCGAGGCAGCGAGAGATGAAGTTTTTCTGAATGACTGTAGTACCGACAGCCCAGCAGAGGGTGGATAGATGTCGCTAGGGCGCGTCCGGCTGTATTGGGTGCAAATTGGGTGTGGGTGAGCTTTTCAGATTAACGTTAAAAACTGTGGCGTCGCAAACCCTGCAGAGTGCAGAGGGAAATTACTTTGGTCACCAAGCTTGAAACCTTGCTGATTAGGTATTACTGCGACCATGAATCTTAAATTCACTCCATGCATGGCTACGTTACGCACAAAGCTATTTTGTTTTTGTTTTTCGACTGAATTATCATCAATTTTGTGGCGACACATCGATTTATTCACTGGTCCCCGCCTACCTGTACATTGTCCTTCCAGAACTAATGAACACGGGAAACTAGCTAATAAGTAACTGCCTGCCTGAAACTAATGTAATATGACCTAACCTGACCTGAGTGGCCGAATTACCCACAGGCAGCTCTCGTCAATCTGCCTTGGACTACGTCGGGACATACACAGCTAGCTGACGCAATGATGAAGGACCGACAAGGAGTGACGGAACGGTGATGTACCGAACAAAGTAATTTATTAAAGTATTATAAAGTATTGTAAGTAAAGTATATTAAAATAATTTATTAGAGTATCTATTTTATCGTTTATTTATTAGGTATTTAGTCAGTACGTTCGATTGATAGCCGTCGAGTCAAAAAAAGTTATGAGGCGTTATAATTTTGCGCACCAAAGTAAAACAGATGCCCTTCGTATAAATGCATTGCAGACACGTTCAATGCTGATTTCGCTTCCAATGCGTATTTACTTGCTAATGTGACTGCGGTAGTGGTGCATGCATTATGACCAATTGTCTTTCCTTTCCGTGTATTTTCACGGATAACGTGTGTGATATTTCGCAACAGTTTTGTGACAAATGCATTCACAATCCACGGCACAGTTGATCGAAACAGGCTAGGCGGGCAATCGGATACCAACGTTTTGTTTTCTTGTGGTAACAGGAAGCAATGCAAGATGTAAAACAGTGCATCAGTGCAATAGTGCACCAGTTCAAGCAGCCGCCAAGGAACCATTGCATATTAACAGGGTTTCAAATACTGTCAATCCCTGTTCTGTTGAAACTGCTTGAGGTTCCGGCTATCACTTAACTCATGCTTGTTTCACAGGATAGCACATACACAATCACCCAAACAAACATTCAAATATGTTCTATGAGTTCAAATTATCAGCATGCATCCGTCTACACAAAAATGCTAGTGTACGTATGTGAGTGGCGAAGAAGAACAATGTCTACGACTACTACTATTCTGAGAAAACGATTTGCCTATTGACAGAGAGCTGATATCATGTATAGGGAGGGACACTGCACGTCTAGAAAAATGATAAGCAACATGCACATAATATGTCGAGTCGATGTCAACTTTGTCTATATTATGCTGATTTCCAATTGTGTATAGTTCTATACAAGCATAATAGGCACCAACTGTTTCATCCTGAGTAATTATGTAGGCAGTAGGCAAAGGCAGTTTCTATCAATCCCAAAAATAGAAGTCAGCTCTAGCATCCTAACCTAGTCATTCACAGTCATAAAACTCACCACAAACTCATTTCTTTACACGTCTTCATCTTCCCTAACACGGACATTCGCTCGCCATTCATTGCTTATCGCTTATGTAGGTACGTAACAAATAATATCTCGATTCTCGGTTCACATGAACAAGCTCTCAAAACCCGATCGTCCCGCACAACTCGTTTGTAACGGGCCGCTTTCATTTCACATAACCACACAACAGCACTGTTTGGGGTAATCGGGAAAGTGGATCTTCTGGCTGTTTCCGTAGATGAAGAAGTCGTCCTGTTTGCCGTTGTAGTGGTACGTGACGCAAAACACCGGCACAGACTGCACCGAGTGACGCTGAAAAAGGAAAAAATAACGTCAAGCATATTTAGTCGAGTAATTAGTCAAGTAATAAAGGCAGTTTCTATCAATAAGTTAAGTCAAGTAATAAAGGTCAATTACGCCCAAAGCATCATTTGTTTTGAACTCTTGTTATGATAACATCTTGATATAATTTGACGTTAATTCATTCATTCATCCAGCGATTCATTCATTCATTCATTCATTCATTCATTCATTCATTCATTCATTCATTCATTCATTCCGATCCATTCAATTCTTTCTTTCTATAGCTCTATCTTACTTTTACATCTGCACCGTGGTTCCATCACTTATCCTTTTCTTTCTACTGAGCTGTCCAGTTCAAATATTCAAATGTAGTAGCGCAGCTCACCTGTCTGAATATCCTCTCCTGGGGCCACTGCTGGCCGTGTTTTTGCACCAACTCCGAGGAGCTCTCGCTGACCAGTCGGTCCGGAAAGCCGACGATCGGGTGCACGCGCTGCTCCTCGGCTCTAAACACCTCCTGACCGGAGACGGAGCGGATCAGGTTATCGGGCAGGTCGGTGCGCTCCACCACCTTGATGTCCTTGTGGTTTTGCCTGACGTAAAAGAGACGAACAGTGTGAGCGGTAAGACCGAATCTGGGGTAAAATGACGATAGGTAGAAGCAAACATAACGATGAAATGTTCATCAACAAATCGTACACTGGAAGACTGTGTCCAAAAGCCATGACATCAATAGATTAAGCCAGCAACGCCAAGGGCTGCTAAAACCATAACTGACACATAACTGCGTAACCGCCTAAGGAAACTGCCTAGACATAACTGCCAAAGACATAACTGCTACATTTCATGACGTCACACCAATTAACCCACCACTTCACAGTCAACTCCACGAAGCAGCGGATATTTCCTTGGGCGTCACACGTGGGACAGGGGACCATTCCTTCAGTATGGCAGGTGATACAGCGACGTGAGCCACGACCATGGCACCACGTGCAGCGCCGTCGATCGTTGTGTATTGTTCTGCTTCCTCGTCCGTGGCAGGAGCTGCACCGAGTCTGTGGAATACATGGGGAAGGGTGTGAGGGAGAGATGAGAGAGAGAGAGAGAGAGAGAGAGAGAGAGAGAGAGAGAGAGAGAGAGAGGGGGAGAGGGAGAGGGAGAGGGAGAGGGAGAGGGAGAGGGAGAGGGAGAGGGAGAGGGAGAGGGAGAGAGAGAGAGAGAGGAGGAGAGAAGGGGGAGAGAAGAGAGGGAGGCGAAGATTTAGGAGAAAGGAAGAAAAGTAGGGATGGGGAAGGGAAAGGGAAAGGAGAGAGGAAGAGGAAGGGGAAAAGAGAGGGAGAGCAGGAGAGAGGGATGGAAGGGAATGAAAGGGAGGATAGAGGCAAGTGTGAAATTAGACAGCTCAACAGAGGCATCATACTCCTAGTTCCACAAAAAAAAACTAAAGTTTGCATACGTGCGGATGGTTTGAGCATTATATGCCGCTTCAACATACGTAGAACTGTTAATCAAAATTGCGAAATTACGTATCAACATCCGTAGCGGTGAGGTTACTTACAAATCGCTAAGCATATCAGGCCCTAACATCTGCACCACTGTTCGTAGCAATACCTAATTGACACATCACGTAAGTTTCAGCGAGTAACTTACGTATCCGCATCTATAATTAGCGCTAAACTTACGTATCACCATCTATATCAGCGCATAACTTACGTATCCACGTCCGCGGCAGAGCGTAACTTACGTATCCCCGTCCGTGGCAGCGCGTGCAGCGCGTCTCCCGGAGACCGCGGCAGTCGTGGCAGACGCGTACCGTCTGCGTGTTGGGCACCTCCGCCACCGAGTTCAGGTTCTGGGCACACACCAGAGGGCGGTCACAACGCGCAGAGGGCGCGGGAGGAAGCAGAAGGGAGAACGTCCTATCTGCTACTTGACATTTCCTGTATGAAATAAATAAGCAAGGCATTCTACCGCTTTTCCAACTCGCTCACTAATTTATTTTATTTTTGTCTGTACGCTTATAGGTATCAGTGTTGAGCATTAGAGATGCAAAGAGATATCCACAACTAACAAATAGATTCGAATGATGAGCAGCGATGAACGCCGATGCTCTTAGCCTGACCTAACTCCTCCCCTTGTTACCCCCGGAGCGCACCTGGAACCACTGAGAGGGCTCCAGGGTGATCAGCACGTCCCAGGGTCCTGGCGGAGGACCGCTGGGCGGCGGCACGGTCTCACCACGCCACGGCACGTAGTTCCATCTCGTGATGCGCGTCTCCGTCATGGTCTCGAGCGTGTACTGCCGGAACCGGAGAGATCAGGTCAGAAAGGTGCCACAGAGGTCATGTGGGTCCCATATAGGGTCAGACGAGTGCGCTAGACTCATTTGCAGCTGTGGAAAGTCAAGCGTATCATACTGAAAGTGGGGAGTCGTATGTCGTCTCGAGACGAGATGTCTCTCATCCCCGAAAACTACATAAACTTGGATAAGACATTCGGACAATTTCGTGCCATCCATCACCCCTGCCCAACCGCTGATCTTCCTACCTTCATGGCTGGTGTGGGCGTCACGGTGATAATCTTCATGTCCTCGATGGGTCCCTTTCCGAAGCAGCAGTGCTCGGCCACGTAGCCGGCCACAATCTCTCTGATCCTCTCAGTGCTGGGTACCTCGTGCTGCACGTTCACCTGGCCGTAATTCTCCGGCGGAGGGGGCAGGGCGGCAGGAGGCGGCGGAGGCGCTCCCCCTGTGCACAGAGGAGGGGGGTGAGTTTCACCTGGAATGGGTAACGGTAGTTTGCTGCTACTGCTGTCCTCGTGCCTTTTATCTGTGCTAGGTGACAATGATTCCAAGCTCGATTGCGTGTTTCCATGCGGATCAAGTCGAGCAACATCCTTGCTCATTTGCCACCTAGCTATTACAAAGCGAACATAACTCTGTGAAAGTGAAACTTGTCATAGGTAGAACTACGCTTGTCGCCCACTATTCTTTACCAGATACATTCGTATAACCCAGCCCCTAGCGTAGTATTTCTCTTCAATCCTTCATCCCACTCGCAGCCTTCTCCCTGCAAATCCCGCACATCCTCCACCTACCTCCAGTGAAGTCGAGTCCTTCGTAGCCGGGCAGCTTGTCCATGGAGTCGATGGGCGGCGCCGTCGGCGAGGGGTCGCTACCCTCCTCTGCCAGCTCCTCGTCCGGAGTCGGCGAGGCGCGGCCCTCCAGTTTGGCAGCCGTCTCCGGCTTCAGAAAGTCCATCGGAGGAGCAGATTCTTGCGGGGGAGCGCCCTGGGGTGGGTAGGCGCCTTGTGGTGGGTACTGCCCCTGTTGTGGGTAATGCCCTTGGGGTGGATATGGTCCTTGAGGATATGGTCCCTGAGGCGGGTATTGTCCTTGAGAATATTGTCCTTGTGGTGGATATTGCCCTTGATTACCCGGATAATACCCGGGTTGAGCAGGGTACTGACCCGGCTGTGGTGGGTATTGACCCGTTTGTGGTGGATATGGGTAACCTCCCTGACCTCCGGGGTAAGGACTGTGCCCGCCAGGCTGAGGGTAAGAAGGGTAACCGCCCGGGGTCGGTTGTGCCATGGTTTAATCGAGATGACTCTTGTTTTCTGCTTTGAATTGCTCGGATGTTCGCTTGAGAAAGGGTGTTTATCTTGATTGGACTTTAGAGGCACACTCAACACTGGATTACTTGACAAAAAGTCTGAAATAGAAAAGTTAATTGTTATAATGCAAGACGTACCTATGACAAAATTCCCGCTGCCGCCACGCCCCCAACAACAAGCGGTAAAACGGTACGGGTGGATCAAGGGATGCTTTTGATGAGGGTAAAAATTAATAAATGATCACTTATGTGTAAATAACACTACTAAGTGTAATAAAAAAGCCGTTCGTCATGACTGATTCTAGCTAGACCGATTGCGAGCCACTTTTTACCGTACGATTGCTATGACACGTAGGGCTGTTCCTTCTTTCTTACATTATGCCGCATAATGTAAGAAGGAAAGAACAGCGTAAGTTTATTCTACATAGGAAGTTGTGCAAAATGATTTTTGTGCGTCGGATATTATATGCGTCAATGCACCAGCATTCGGACGCCTCCCCTTGCTGCGCTCCTGACTCCGCCTATGAACCGGCGTGCCGCGCCCACACGTCCCCCCTTTGCACCGACTCACCTCAGCACACAATCCTCTTCGACTTCTCTTCCAAACTCACCACAAAAATACAAAACAAACACGCAGAAATAAACCTTCTTATAACACCTCACAATACACTGCTCTAGCGTGTAAAATAATCTCCAAACGAGGGCACGAGCACGATGCTCGCCCGCTGTTGCGTCGGCGCCTGCCGCACTGTCCCGCGTTCGTGGGTACGCCAGCGCGTTGCTCAAGGCCGCCTGTCGTCGGCTGAAGGTTACCGCCGCTAACTGCCATGTACGCCGCCGCCCCCCCCCCCTTCTACTGCGCTCGATCCGCCCTTGCCGAATGCCGTCCGAATGCCGAATCCTGTCCGTCTGTCCGTCTGCTGCCGCCCCTTTCCTTCTTCCGCGTTGCCCCCAATGCTGCCGTCTCCCCAATGTATGTATGTATGTATGTAACTATGTCATTGTCAGGACAAAATCTTTGACAGGTTTGAAGGAGGGCTATCAGAACTTGCTCGAATAGCTTTATCTTCAGAACTGTCATTTTCTTGTGACAGTCTATTGAACATAGTTCTGACTCATCCGCCAAGCAAACTACATTGTCTTTGTACACTGCAATGCAAGTGCATAGAAATGTATGCGTCTCTATATCTGTCGTTTTGTTGTCTTCTCTCTGCATTTATACGGCACGGCGGAACCTCAATCTGCTTTTCGATTTTACTCGCTGATCGCTTGATTTGTTGGAAGTTGCTAGAATATTTTGTCACGCCTCCTCGATGTGTTGGATCGAACTGCCGCCATGGCGCGTGCCAATGCGTGGACAACACACGACTTGAGATAGTTTGGGACGTTTCACCGATGCACTTTCTAAGCTATCAACAACGACTTATCGGCGATAGCGGGATTAGTAAGAATTCCCACAGTGAATTCAGGACAGGAATGTTAACATTTGAATGTGATCGAAAGATGCAGCATAATTAGATGATACTCGACACGAAGGTCGATTTTAAATCGTTTCCTTATCCTGAACCATTCCACCGTTTATAGGGTTAATCCCTGTACTGTACTGCACTGCTATTTCTGCTTAACAGTTTATCAATCACGTCAGATAGAACTTTGCCAGAATTACATCAGCTAAATTTAGATTCGCGCTACCTCAATCTCTGTCTTTGCAATACTCTGCAACACGCCTGATCCGCCAGATCCCGGCCTAGTCAGAGCATCCGGGGGGGGGGGGGGGTAAGGAAGTGGGGGGGCCTTGAGGCAGCCAACACAGCTCGCTAATGCGTGCGGCGTGCGAGACTCGGAGTCGGAACTCGGACGAAGCAGTCTATCGCCGATGTCCGACAACGAACAGAAGGTCCTCACTTCTAACCTGTTTTGCAGCGTTTTAAGAGCTGCGTTAGAGCCAAGCGTAGTGTTTGTGCTTATATGTTAAAATACTGCAAGTTTTGGAGAAAAGCTGACTTAGCAAGGCTCGCATTTGGAGGTGAGGTGCGTGTGGGGAGTGGGCGGGTCGCGGTCACAGTGGCACAGTCAGGATTGCCAGGGTAGGCTTCGGGTACTCATGAAATATGAATGCTGCGTGTAATTTCATCGCTGTTGCAAAAAGGAATGCAAGCATGTATTTTTTTAGCGTGTGATGTGACTATCATTCTCTCACGGTATTCAAATTTATTTTAGTACAAATTTATTTGGCATTTTACGGGCCGCCCAAGCGTGTGCTAGAGCACTTGGTGGAAGCAATTGCTAACGTGACTGTCGCTTTCCATTTGTGTTTTCCATGTCTTATCAAGGTCCTCGTCGTTTACCGAGACATATGGCAAGACTTAGAGTGTGATAGCCTATCGCTGCTTTGATAAGTAGTACGTTGACATACGGGCCACGACCCCTGGTTCGTATATGTACGCCCATGCCAGTCCCGATAATGACTATTGTGTCTGATACGGCTCTTTCACTGATTCAAAGTATACCGCGACAGTACGACACATATTTTGAGTGGCAGTGGTTGGTTTGACAACGCCCAGTAAACGCCCAACTGCTTATAAGGTAAGCCATTTTTATCCAGCACTGTGTAGATATTACTAGAGAAAAATAATTACTCCCCCCGGGAATCACGATCCCCTATTTGGGAATCAACTGACACCCAAGGTGTAATCCGATTCTGAAAAACAGTGTCCATACACCGTTTTTTAGTGTAAATTGATCTCGATCAGAATCATATACCCAAGGGTCATTTGACTCCCAAAATTTTGACTCCCATTTTAGGGGTCGTGTCAAAAGATCCTGCACGGTGTCAGTGTAAAATAACACATCTAAGCGTTTTTGACGCTGTCATGAGGAGTTTTTATACCTATCCTATAGGTGTCATTTCACACAGTTGAGCGTTTTCGCAATCCGTGACTCCCTTATTAGGTGTAATTTGATCATTAGTGGTGTCATAATATTCCGTTCAAATGACTTATTGAGTGTAATTTGACCCTCGGTAGTGTCATAATATTCCGGTGTCATTTGAGCCCCATGGGGTTCAAATGACACCGAAATATTATGGCACCACTGAGGGTCAAATTACACCTAATAAGCGAGTCACGGATTACGAAAACGCTCAACTGAGTGAAATGACACCCAGAGGGTTAAAAAACTCCACATGATAGTATCAAAAAACACTAAATTATTACAGAAATTGTTTTGACGTCACTGGTGGTATACCACCATCTCTTGACTCTGCAGTGTTGGTTCCTATAGGAACCAACACTGCAGAGTCAAGAGATTTTCGGTGAATCAGACTCCGAATCCAGCTCCGGCTTCCAATATCGACTCCGACTCCGACTACGGCCAGAACTGTCGTTTCCAACCGACTCCGACTACGGCCAGAACTGTCGACTCCAACGGACTCCGACTCTGACTCCGTAACCCTGGTTATAGGCTCAGTGATTTGAATCAATGCCCCGTGTCGCAGACGCAGCAGCCGGCGCCGACTCGGTGACGTTTGTGCCTGTGCGTCACGAGCGCTCTATAGTGGACTGTATCTTGTTTCTGTGTGACTGGGCTTGGCTACTGGTCCATGGCATTTAGGTGACTGAAACGCAGACCCTCATAACAGGTACAAGGATGAGTAGGGATAGAGGCCACGATGGCGTGACTCAAGGGGAGGTTAAAGAGTCGCGCTGACGCAACGGGGGTTCGTAGGACAGAGTCCACGATGGCGTGAACAGAGGTGAGGAATAGAGACCGTGATGGCACGATCGGGCGAGGTTGGGGCTGTGCCGACCTACCTTTAAGAGAGATAAGGATAGAGGCCACGATGGCGTGACACGAGGGAAGGTTAAAGAGTCGCGCTGGCGCAACAGGGGCTCGTAAGGACAGAGTCCACGATGGCGTGAACAGAGGTGAGGAATAGAGACCGTGATGGCACGATCGGGCGAGGTTGGGGCTGTGCCGACCTACCTTTAAGAGAGATAAGGATAGAGGCCACGATGGCGTGACACGAGGGAAGGTTAAAGAGTCGCGCTGGCGCAACAGGGGCTAGTAAGGACAGAGTCCACGATGGCGTGAACAGAGGTGAGGAATAGAGACCGTGATGGCACGATCGGGCGAGGTATAGGGAGGAGGGTAATTCTGCGTTTGAAGTGTAAGTGAAGTGAAGTGTAACTGGAATGTATACTGTGCCGCTATCTTGATTCTCTCACTCCTCGCTCTCGGTGATCACTTCCTTTGTCACACCACTGCACTGATTTCACAGTCTGTATTGCAAAGAGCAAGATCCGGCAAACCAATTACACTGCTTGAAGGCTGCGACGAGCGGAACGAACAACCGCCCGGCTCGACGACTGAGGCAGAACAGAGAATAACTTGAGTATACTGTGCCGCTAACTTGAAGTCTTTTGCTCAATCGCTCCAGGTGACCACTTCTTTGGACACACCACTGCACTAATTCACAGTCTATATTGCGATGAGCAAAGAGCCGGCAGAAAACCACCACACTGCGTGGAAGCTGAGCCGAGAGGAGCGAACAACCGCACGGCGCGAAGACTGAGAGAGAACAGAGAGAGGGAGGTGTTTACAACAGGTTTAAATACGACTGGCAATGGGGTCACACACAGGGGAGATAGCGAGGGAGCAAAGCAAACGGTATTAGGCAAACTAACTGGACGCGACGAACCGGAGATAAAGAAAGAGATAGGGCGCGACGCAGCGCGCCAGCGGCCGCCGGGACGGACGCAGCGCGCTAAACAAACGTAACCGGGCCCGCCGCGCTGACCACGTTCCCCGTGAACAAAGCTATCGACGGGCGTCGCCGCGAGAGGGGTCAGGTCCGGCACACACAGGTGCGCGCAAAAACACCCCCACTGGGGCGGGGGGGGGACGGCGCGGCGGCCCGCTCGGCTGACCCACCGGCCGCCCGCCACCCTGCTCGCGAGACGGGCGACAGGACAGTTTTGGCGGTCACATCCCGCCCCCCGTGTTCGACTCTATGAGAACACTAAACTCTGTACCGCCACTGATATATCGGCTGGTAGAAGGCCTCGACGGGGCGGAGTCCGGACCGGGCAAGCGATCGGCAGTTCCCACATATTTACACATATTTACATTACTGTTCACAGCACTTGCTCACTGTTCTCCCATCACCGCGATCTGGGCGACGACCATCTACCCGCTTATCCTCCCGCTGTCTTGATCTGGACAGAACGGACTCTTCGATCTGGTCCCGGGAACACCTGGGTCATGCGGGCGAGCGGTCGCGTAGCCGGCAGTGTGTTGGAGTCGGCGAGGAGCGCTGGATCTCCGGCGAACACGCTCTTGATGCCCCGCCGTCGGTTGCGTGGCTGGGGCGAGGGCATGCACCGCTCGCGGTGCTGCCGCCGCCGCCGCTGCTGCTGCTGCTTGTCGCGTAGACTCTGGGACGAGAGCATGCACCGCCCCCGGTGCTGCTGCTGCCGCTGATGCTTTCTGTTGCGCGGGCTCTTGGACGAGGGCATGCACCGCCCCCGTAAGGGCCCAGCCGAAGTCGGTTCGGATGGCGACTGGCTGCCCTGGTGGTCCAGCTCTCACCTCGTGCTGGATCACAGCTTCGAGAACGTTGGCACCGAGAAGCAGTTGCACTTCGCCTTTGGAGCAGTCTGGCACATCTAGGTTCTCCAGGTGACGCCATGTTTGTCGGTGCTGTTTGCTGATTCGTGGCACAGAGATGTTCATCTTCGGTACGGCCCACACCTCGGATAATGCTATCCGCTTCTCGCTGGCCTCAGGGGACAGACCTTGCAGTTCCATTGCCAGCTTCCTGGCCACTTGCCTCTTTCCGGTACCTTGAATCGTCTGCATGCATAGTTCCTGTGGCTCGCCTGAGATGCCCAGCTTGTCCGCTAATTTCTGACTGCATAGGGATGTCTGGGCGCCAGGGTCTAGTAGAGCCAGCGTGTCTCTGGTTCCTGTACTTCCAAAGACTCGGACTGAGACTACTTGCAGCAGCGTAACATTGCCTTTGTCCTCTTGATGGCATCCCGAGGCTGCCGCGACTCTCTTCTGCTTGGTTGCGAGACGTATCCTCGAAGCTGCTTCATCAGCCTTTCTCTCCGTTTCCGCGGTTGACACTTCGGAAGGCTGAGGCCTGACTGGCTGGCCGCCGTGGAGGAGAGCGTGGTGCCGGTACTTGCAGCCGTTCTTCCCACAGCGTTTTGCCTTCCGGCAGTCTTTCACGCGATGGCCCTTCTTCAGGCACCGGAAACATCGTTGCTCACCAAACACGTGCTTCAACCGGGCGTCGGGAGATTTTGCAGTGAACAGCTTGCACTGATCCAGATTGTGGTATTCTCCGCAGAGAGAACATTCCTGTTTCTGAATGGGCCTCGCAGCCGTGGTAAAGGCCTGTCTGCTGACAGTCTCAACAGCGCTCTCCTTCCTGTGCTTACGGCTGGCTTCTTCAGAGCTCTGTTTTCCTTTTGGGCAGCTTCTGCTTATCTTGACTTGAGTCTGCAGCCACGCATCTACATCCAAAAGCGACGGTCTTCCAGGTTTCAGCTTCAAGGAGAACTTGCCCCACTCGCGCCTCAGCTCTCTTGGTAGTTTCTCCACTGTTCGCTGCAAGCTATTGCTGCTGTGCAGGTCTGCGCTCGCTCCTATGTTTCGCAGAATAGTGACCGCACAGTGCACGGTTGCTTGAAACCTTTCCAGTGATTCGGCGTCGTCTTCACGTGGGTCCGGAGCGTCAAAGATGCTGTTGAGGTTGTGCTGAATGACGTCATCGTCCTGGCCGAAACGCTCTTCAAGCGCCTTTAGAGCTTGATGGTAGAGAGTTCCGTCGTATAACATGCCAGATATAGTCTGCTGTGCCAGACCACTTACAGATGATTGTAGGTGGGCGATTTTCTCAGTGTCGGAGAGGGATGGTTGGTCATGGACCAGCGCCTTGAATAACCCAACCCACCTCGGCCATTCTGATGCCTTTCCGCTGAAGGTAGGGAGAGTTAGTCTTGGAATACTCTTTGTGAAGGCAGAAAACGCGGTCGCTCCATCTGTGCGCGGCGCCTGCTGCGGGCCTTGCAGTCCTTGTATCCATGACGTCGCGTTTCCCACCTTGCGTGATTCCGATCTTTCAACTGGCTCTTCAGGACGCACTCCCACTCGACGGGCCGCTCTGGTGATCGCTCCTTCACACACTGGTTGCACTTCAAGCTGACGGTTCCTTGTCACAACTTCTTCGGCTTCGAACAGCTCATCCTCAAAATCATTTCTTCTTTCCATTTGGAGGTCATCGCTGAGCTCTTTGCGCAGACTGACTTCTAGCTGGGCGGCTTCAGCTTCATCTACGGCGTCTTGTAGCTGTTTTCTCCTCTGAGCTTCCTTTTCTTGGCGCCGTCTCTCCTCTTCTTGCTTCTGCTGAATTCGTCGGCTCTCCTCTTCTTGCTTCTCTTGAATTCGTCGTCTCTCCTTTTCTTGCTTCTCTTGAATTCGTCGTCTCTCCTCTTCTTGCTTCTCTTGAAGCCGCTCCTCTTCTTGCTTGCGCTTCAGCTGCTGTAGACGTAAAGACTTCAACTTTGCAGCGACTTCTG